AACACCCGGGAGGAGTTGCGTGAGCTCGGAATCGCCAGGGTTCTTGGAAATTTTTTCAAGTGGAGCATGAGCGATGTAGGAAAAGATGGAGAGAACGGCATCTTCACCGAGCACTTCAAAGCGGTCCTCCTCCTTGCTGGGTACCATCAATTTCTTCTTGCTGCTGTGAAGGTTCTTGCTGCCTTTCTCGCAGACCATCGGGGCAACAACCTCAAGACTCATGGTTGGGTTTTCGAATAAAATTCACTAGCAACTAGTACCTGAATGGGCTTGATGGGTGGCCAAAGTGCTGTGATGTGAGCAGAGGATAGAGGCAAGAATCGCCTCACCGTGTGGAAGAAACGAAGATGCACTGTTGTGGCAGGCAAGTGACAGAAATTCTTTGGAAGCAGCATTGCACCAGCAATGCGATGATGCGATGATGGCTGATGTTTCGATGAATGAGGCGTGGTCGGCGTTGACAGAAGCAGCACCAGACTTCAACTTGTACATACGAAGCTCAGTACTGAAATCCTTCTGCTCGCCTATTGGTTAGGAACTCATGCGTTTGCCCAAGGAAGTGGTGGGAGGGAGGAACGTATGGGCGAAGAGCCATTGAAACATGGGTATCCACATCGCTGCATTTTTGGAGATTGATTTTTGTACAACACATAGTCTTCAACGTAGCTATGTGATTGGTACAGTCTACCGCATCTACTCAACGGATATATTCCAACAGTATAAAATACATTCCGATTTGACGACTGTCGACATTAGAAGCGATTGCTTGGAATGGGCTCGATCTTCCAAAGGCCTTCGACACGACAGCAAAACACCACGCATCTTTGCTTTAGTGCCAATGTGACAATGGTTTCAGCAACTTTGACATGACGTGTCTGCAAACTTCTCTTTTTCACGGAAGGTTCTCTTAATTAAAATTGTGCACGAATGCTTCAGCTTGCACTTTGGACTTAACAAAAAGGGTGGAAACAGTGTGATTGGGGAAGGGGAAGTCTAGCTAATAGTGAAAAAGTAAAGCCACAGAGCTGCAATGTACTTGGCCAAAAAGCCAAAATCGCGGGAGCCGTACTGGTACCGACAGCACCGCACATGATTGAAACCATGACAGTTGGGTTTTGAAAGAAAAAAGATATCTAACCTAATAGGTGCCAGTAAGCTACCGTACCTTTGGTTACTTACCACAATACATGTAATGAGAACTTCTTCAGGAGTACCGGTAGCACTAGTACAGAAGAAGATTTTTTTTTAACACTGGCGTTGAGGATAGTTATTGAGGATTTTCATCCTCGTGGTTGGACACTCCAAACAACAAAACTTCGCTAGCTAGAGGTTGGAGCCCTGTAGAAAACTCTTGGAGATATTTCATCACCATCTTGCAACTCTGTGGTCGTCCAAGAGTCGTCAGTGGGCGGAAGAACACTGTCTGTAACAGGTGCTGAGAAACTTTCGAACTGCTGATCTCTCTGCTCACTGGCACCCTTCAACAAAGTCATGACCCATCGAACCTCTCCATCTAGAGCTTCTTGGCGGATGGCATAAGATACCCGAACCCACCTTCTTCCTGCACGGCATAGTAAATTCTTGCGATACTCAGCACCCCATCCAAAGAAGCCAACCTTCTGGTATATCCCATCAAAACGTTTTGTTCCCTCCACCTTGATACTGTGTGGAATGATTCCACTTGGGAGAGAATTGGCTGACCCATGGACTGTAGCGTGGCATTTGATAAACATGGTCAGCTTTCTCTGCTGTCAATTGCTTTTCATAGACATCCAAACATGTCCCTGGGCACAAGACCTGATGGCCGGACTGTCTTCGACAAATCATTGGGATGAATTTTCTCCAATCGAACATGTTTGACCAGCTGTTGAGCAACAGTCTGGCGTTCTTCCAAGGCGACTGGATCCAATTCTACAGCAGTAGCTGTTGATGCTGCATTCACCCACTCCATTAGAATGCTAAAGACCTCCAGCTCATTCATTCGTAGTTGCCGATCTTTAAGATTGCTTCCAACACAGACGGACTCAAACAGGCGACATCTTTGGTACCAATTGTGGCTCCAGCAATGTCTTTGCGGACGCCTTTTTCAGCCATCAACTTGAGCTCTTTGGGGAGTCCTTGTCTTTGAAAACAAGATTGCAAGAGGACAAAGGACAGCTTTGGGTATTCTTTCAAAATCTTGGCCACGCATTCTAGTGCCTTTTCGCAAAGAGTAAGCAGGTTGTAGAAATTTCCACACTCCATGAGAGAAACCAAGAGCTGAATTTGTCTTGTAGAATGGTGCTCCTGCTCTGTGTCCTCTTCTCGTTGTCGCTTCTGGGATACCCTGAGTACCTCAGCAGAATCGGTGTAGACATATTCGACCAACGCCTCCGCAACAGTTCCCTCATAGTCCAGATTAATGACAGGACTCTTGGATTCAGAAAACTGACCCAAGAGCATCCGACGGAATACATCACTTTTGGCAGCGAAAACAAAGCGATTGGCCTTGACCAGAACTCCATCGTTGCTCTTGAATGTGATGTCATTGAGCTCGTCATCCTTCCAAAAGGCAGCCAACAATCTTTTCCCAGAAAGTTCTCCTTCCTTGGCAGTCACGGATACTTGCTGCGATCCTTGAACAGTATCGCTTGGGTTGTGGGCGCTATTAGCAGGCTCCGTCATGGTGATGAAACCTCTCTACTGGCACAAGCAATACACTTGTACATACCTGGTACCACCTTGGGAGTGTTCTTTTGGTCGTCTCTTGATTCGCTTCTCCTGAAACCTGAAGTCTTCAGTACTAGCTAGCTAGCTAGTAGCTCTTCAGTCGATATGTCGATATGCCACCTTGTAATCCGTCGTAGCTGCAAAAACATTGAAACCTTTTTTCCTTTCAAGTGCGTGGTCGATGACTCGATGACACCCCGAGAGTGAAATTTGATCGGCGGACAAAGGTTCAACTACAGACTCAACACTCTCTTCTTGTGAGGTCTTGTGCCATTCAGAGTTGTTGGCTGTGACACCCCGAGTGGTTGCCATCAAAAAAGAAAACTCAGATAAGCAGATCTATAGGTAGCTAGCTAGTAGCGAGTAAAGCAATGAACATGTTGAGCAGATTCCTGTTCTTGGGCGTTTGCCTCTTTCTGGACCGTCGTGCTGCAGCATTCGTACCTCAAGGGTAAGCTTTGGATGAGGGGATAACTGCCATGATAAATGCGGCAGGAAAATTGATATGGTCAATCCTAACCCCTTGAGAAACTGCTGTTTGTGTCTTTACACACAATCAACTTCGTATATCATACAGCCGCCATGTGGTTTCGGTACGCCCAACTGCAAGCCCCCGTCTTACTGGCGCTTGGGCACCCACCCCAGCAAAAGATTCGCAGCTATCCATGAAACTACGTTTTGGCGGAGGTTCCAACCAAGTCTCTTCCACCATGATTAAGAAGAGCACTGTTTCCAAGGTACTTTCACGAGTTGCCCTTGCATTTTTGGCCATTGCCATGGTACAAATGCCTCTGGCGGCTCATGCTGCCAAGAAGGCCAAGGTCGTGGAACATTTACATACGGGACAAAAAGTGGCAAATTTCTTTCGAACATTTGGTATCCCTGATTTGGGCGTCCTTGCAATCATTTCGGCTTTGCCGGTAGTAGAGCTTCGAGGAGCCGTACCGGTTGGAATTTGGATGGGTTATCCAATCACCACCGTTTTGCCCGTTTGCGTCCTGGGAAACATGGCTCCTATCATTCCCCTTCTTTATCTACTTCGCAACCCAACGCTCAAGTAAGTGGCTTTGTTTGGGAATTGCAGCTCAAACAAGAAAGTCTGGCCTTCAAGGATTCAAAAAACTGACGACCCTCCGTTTCACTCTAACGATGTAGAAACCTCATGGCTCCAATTTTGAAGAGAGCCGAAAAGAAGGCTGCTGGTTTGGGTGTTGGATCGCTTGAAAAGCAATGGGCATCGTTGGCTGCATTTGTAGGTATTCCACTTCCAGGAACAGGTGCCTGGACTGGAGCCATGGGTGCCTTTCTATTGGGTATGCCAACGGCCGTTGCCCTGTCTTCCATCTTTACTGGTGTAGTATCGGCGGGTGTTATCATGTCGGCTATCACATTGGCTGGAAGGAAGGGTGGATTAGCAGCATTGGCAGCCTTGTTTGCCTTTACTGGCAAGGAATTTCTCTTTGGTTCCAAAAAGCAAGATTTCCTAGAAGCTGACCCCTACTGGGACCAATCCACAGTTCCTGTGAATGTGTACAAGAACAAGGCACCTTTCACAGGAAAGGTTGTCTCCACAAAGAGAATTGTTGGACCTAAAGCTACTGGTGAAACATGCCACATCATCATTGACCACAAAGGCGACTTCCCCTACTGGGAGGGGCAATCCTGGGGGGTCATTCCACCTGGTGTTAGGGAAAAGGATGGAAAGCCTCACTCAGTTCGCCTATACTCCATTGCCTCTTCTCGTTATGGAGATGACATGACAGGAAACACTGGATCCTTGTGTGTTCGTCGTGCAACCTACTGGTGCCCAGAGCTCAAGGCTGATGATCCTGCCAAGAAGGGAATCTGCTCCAACTTTTTGTGTGACACCAAGGCAGGTGATGAAGTTCAAATGACTGGTCCTGCTGGAAAGGTTATGCTCATGCCAGAGGAAGATCCTAGCACTGACTACATTATGGTTGCCACTGGTACTGGTATTGCTCCTTACCGTGGTTTTGTGAGACGTCTCTTCACAGAAAAGACACCAGCTGCTGAAGCCTACAAAGGCCAGGCCTGGTTGTTCCTTGGAGTTGCCAACAGCGATGCCTTGTTGTATGATGATGAGTGGCAAGAGGTCAAGACCAACAACCCGGAACAGTTCCGTTTGGATTATGCCCTTTCTCGCGAACAGAACAATGCTAAGGGTGGCAAGATGTACATTCAAGACAAGGTTGAGGAATATGCTGATGAAGTCTTTGAGAAGCTTGAGAATGGTGCCCATATTTACTTCTGTGGATTGAAGGGAATGATGCCTGGAATCCAAGGCATGCTCAAGGGAGTTGCAGAGAAGAAAGGCTTGGAGTATGATGCTTGGTTGAAAGGACTCAAGGCCAAGAAGCAGTGGCATGTGGAGGTCTACTAGATGCTGGTTTTGCGAGCCATTACGGCAGGCCACACACTTCTTGTTATTATAGTTTCAGCCCATTGTCTATAATCACACGTTTTCTTGGAGCTCCTCAAGTTGGCAGTCCGAACGCACTCAATGGTGCATCGTCGACGGAGCCAGAAGCAACCTTGCCCCAGAACACGGAAGAGCTTGCTTGCGGTTCCGCTCCATGTACTTCGCGTTTGCTATCCTCGGTTCAACCAGAGAAAGTAAAATACTAGTTACTATTGCTAGCAACTTCAACGCCGTATCAGCTTCTTCGCCCTTTCCCTTCTGACTCCTGACAATAGACGATGATGTGTTTTGAACCAGGTTCAACATGCAAGTGTTACATCTAATTCTAAGTAGGTAGCAGATAGTATACAGTATGAAGTATATAGGGCAGCTGAAGCTGCATGAAGGCTCCCTGAGAAAGCAAAGAGGAGGTTGATCATTGGTTGCCTCGGTGCATGGTGTGTCTCATGAAGGGACGGTAGCCTGTCGAAATCTCTTTCTTCGGTCTTTCTTCTTTCTCATCTGCGACATCAACAAAATACCCCCAATCATTGTCGTCGTCGTCATCAGCTACCAAATCATCATCGAGTGCGGAGATTACAGACTCCTCGCTGCAACTCCGCAACAGAGATGGCGGTTGGTAGTCGTCATTGCAGGTTGAATGGCTGGCGATGGAGCCACTTGCGGAAGTGGAGACTGTAGCGACGGTGCGATCGCTTTTCCCGGAAACGGCAGAGTAAGTTCGTTTCAACAAGGCCATTGGAGAAAGAGGGAAGGAGGGATAGACTATCGTGAACTTGCTTCTTTGCTTTGGCTCGGAAGTGCTCCCGGCAACCAGCTGATGAGCTTGCTGGATCCGAGCTTCAAGGCTGCGTCTAGATTCTCGAGGGAAAACTGGCAGCTTGGCTGAACAACAAGACGCTTCGTCATCGAGACGGAGCCCGTTTGCAGCACCACCAAGATGTATCTGCTCGCGGATGGTTCTCTTCTTCGTCGGCTCCCGACTACTACCGAAATGCATGGCAACCCATGGTGGAATCATCTTGTCTTGCCACCAATTGAAAGGAGTGATGCCGTCTGACTTTATGTAAAGAGCGAAAGATCGGTGGACAACAAGCGTCCTGCCGGTTGGATTCCAATTCCAACAACAGCAAGCAGGAGAACAACTACTGGTACGTCCTGAGCATTCCTCGTGGATTGTTGCAAGTGTGAGAAAGATTTTTATAGACGTTGCATCACTTCCAAAGCGAAAAATGGAAAAAAGAAAGCTTGAAAGCTTTGGTTCCCCACGTCGTGTCGGAACTGGCGATTTGATTGGTCCTCTTCGCAGAGTCTTGTTAAAATGCAATCGCTATTTATACCCTATTATTAAGATAACACCTTGTTTTGATTGATGTTGATGTTTGTTAAACCAACTAGCAATCTTGTAAGAGAGGTTGATTTTGTGTGACACCAAGGTGTCTTTTAGAGGCACGGCTGCACGAGAGAAGGAGCGGAGGCAGGCTCCAAGTGCGAGTACAGTACTGTATTCCATTCCGGATCAGCTCGGTCGGTGTTGGAGTTGATTGCCAAAATCATGATGTTGCAATGCCGTCGGAAGTACTAGTAGTGTAGCTAAGGTGGCTACTAGTACCGGTAGTTAGCCAGCCTACACGATGAGAACTTGAATGGCTGTCAACAACTCGAGCACACAGATCAACAAATCCATTGACATCTCTGATAGTAGAGTGAGCAATAATCCCACCGTTGTTGCAATGCCCCGTCGCAAGAAATGTAGCTCTACTAAGGTGTCTATTAGCTAGCCTGCACGATGCGAACTTATATGGTCAACGATCCATTCAGAGATAGAAGGACAGCCAGCTACTGTAGTACTTTCCAGTTCGCTCGTCATGTTGTTTCCAGCCAATTCCAGCCCCAGCCCAACTCCTTCCTGAACCTAGCCATCACGTATAGATCTATCATTTGTTCTCCTGGACCTGGCTGGTCCAGCAAATCACTGACACCGCTGCACCGTTGCACCGCTGCAAGGACGACTCCAAGCCCAATACCTGGTACCGGTACTGGACTAACGGGGACCAATTTTAGGATCTTCCCCATGCCATATCTACACGCGTCTCATTGCACTACTACACGTAGTACGGTATGCTTACACTTCCAATCTGCCTCCTTTCATTGCTTGAGGCATTCTGATGAGCCACTGGTGGCTGGCAGCTCATATTGTCTGCCGGTTTCTAGCTTTTGTTTTCGTTCTCGCCACTAGCGCTAGCTAGCTAGTCAGCCACAGAAAGCAACCTTCAGTCAAGTCCCTTGGCTAGCTAGTACAATAGGTAAAATACTTCCAGCGAGCTAGGTAGTCTAGAGGCAGCTGAGACAGCCATCTTGGAGTTTGTTATAACTGTGTGCGAACTTATTAATACACTACTTTTTGCTTTGATGGGCGTCAAAATTATTTGCCGGAAGACATGCATGTCACACTCAAGCTGCCAGGTATGGCAAATTTTTTGTCTGTCGACCGGCTTTCTATGTCGCAGTTTTCGTGGCCAACTTTCTCGAGGAAAAGCGCTGAGCAGGCACAGCAGGACGATTTCATTGTGCCTCCAACAATGGCCGCAGAAGGCTGAAGTGACCCCGTACTAGTAGTTGAGCGCTGGTCTTGTTATTATTGTACAAAGAAACCCTACTATTACATCGATCCTACTACACAAGACCTTTGCTATTTGGATCCGTCTGCTACACAAAAGCGTCAGATAATTGGTAGCTTCCAACAAGATATGGGAGATTCCGAGAAGAATTCAGCGATGGCAGACACACAAGCTCAATCTGCGGCCGATGAAGGAGGAGCCGCTGTAGCTCCGGCGCACGAAGCTGGAGGAACAGACGCTCCTGTTGAAAATAACGAGGTTCCTTCCACACCAGGAAAGTCGGATGATGGCGATAAGAAGTCATCAGCCGAGGATACGGTGGCAACCGCTGCTGCCGACGATGATAATGATGACCCTACCAAAGCGAGTGGTGGCGGCGAGTCACCATCCAAGCCAGCCGCCATAGTGGCATCCAGCAAAAAGGCCAGACCGCCTTACAAGTATGACCCCGACAAGATCACTCTGGTGTTCCTCTTTGCTGGCCGAGATGGGCTGACAGTGACTGTAGAATGCAAACCTGGAGATACCGTTGGTGAAGTCAAGGGAGCGCTGTTGTCTGTATGGCCAGAAGGTAAGACCGGTTTGAGTGACTAACTGCTGATGATATTATTGCTATTGTGTGTACTCAAGACGTTATGTCGCTGCTGTAACTCAGATCTCCCGGACTGTGAAGGAGGGGACAATGTACGGCTCGTTTGCATGGGACTTGGATTCCTCATGCCAGATACACGAACGTTGGAAGATTGTCAAATACCAGTGTTCAAAACACACCCAACACCCGTTAATGTTGCGGTTAAACCAAGCGCTTCAGGTGGTGGAGGAGGAAGCAAGAAAGACTCTAATAAGGATACCGGAGGATCAGGGAACAACAACAATACCACTGAAAGCGCCGGTCCTGAGACCGAGCAGGCTAGCCAAGGCTGTGCATGTACCATTCTATAGTAAAGGATTCTTACATAAATCCAATTCGCTCGATTTGGTCTCCGTGTTTGCATCTGATTTCCAGAGTTGATCGCTCCCGCTTGACGACATGGGATTCTAGCGGAGGATTCGATTCGTTTGTGGCTTCGCAGGCTGGGTTAAAGGCATGCCTCTAAAGTAGCCGGATTACACATCTAGCTAGCTATTAGCTATCCATCATTTCATGTCTGGGAAGGTGATGAGTATTAGGAAGTAGGCCGGACTCCTCTGTACGGTAAAAGTAGTAGTAATACCGTAATACCTAGTAATCGAGTTCACAGCGGTGTTAGTTTTCCTCGATCTTTTCCATGTGTTCTCATCGAAATACTGGAAATCTCTATGCATTGTAGCTCCTGTTGGTACCGCAGCTACCAGTAGCGAAGAAGATTGATGTCTATTTTCTTTTTTATTGAAACACCTTAGTAAAAGCACGCTACGTACGGTATGCCGGATCAGGTTGTTTTCTCGGCTGTGGGTATGGTCTAATCAAGGCCATTATGTTGGGGACAACGTTCACATCACCGCCCCTTTCGTTGCTTCGGGGGTTAGGAAGTGAGCTGGATCCTCAAGACAGATCCTCTGCAGTTGCCTCTTGCTTTTTCTCCCATAATGACAGCCCAACCCCGGTGCTCAACAATCCAGCGACTACGACGAGTGCAATCTCCGTCGGAATTTGGTATCCGCAGTATTCTGCAATCATCTTCGATCCAATAAATCCCAGCACGACAGCGACTGCTGGTTCTAGGTATTTGAGATCTGCAGCTGCCTTGGACAGGATCGTGTACAGACTACGAAGGCCCATAATAGCAAACATATTGGAGCTGAAGACCACAAGGGGGTTCTGTTGTCAGTGTGGCAGCGAAGAAAGAAGCAGTGAGTGGTTAGAAGTGGCTTGCTTCAGAAGGATCGATCCCTGCAGAAAGCGTAGAATCGAATCTGCCTCTGCGATAGATAGATAGTTACCTCTGTGACACCAAAGACCGCCGGTATACTGTCCACGGCAAAGACAACATCGCTGATTTCCACAGCAATCATACAAATGAACAATGGCGTGGCCATCTTGACGCCATCGACCATGGTAAAGAAACGGTCTCCGTCAAATTCTTGCGTCGACTTCATGAGGTTTTGGGAGAATTTGACAATGGCATTCTCACTGGGGTCTTCCTCATCTTCGTCTTCGTCTCCTGGGATGAGCGCCTTTGCGGAGCTGTATACCAGAATAGCCGCAAACACCAAGAGGATTTCGTGGAAATTTTGCAGTGCCGCAGCGCCAATTCCAATCATGGCAGCTCGCATGACAATGGCTCCAACGATACCCCAGTTCAAGATGCGATCTTGACTTTCGAGTGGGACCTTGAAGTACTCGAATAGCAGTAGAAACACGAATAGATTGTCCACGGATAGACTCTGTTCCACAAGGTATCCAGCAAAGAACTCTTCGCTCGTTTGAGGTCCAAACCCGACCAATAAAAAGGCTCCGAACAGAGACGCTGCTCCGACCCATGCCAGAGTACGAGAGATGGCCGACTTGTAAATGAGTTGCTCTTGCGCCGCCGTCGTCGTTGCCAAATCCAATGAAAGATCAGTTTCCGGTGGTGTGGTGGTGGCTGCATCTGAGCTGATATTGCCACTGCCGCTGGCGGATTCCAGAACCATCCGTTCTACGCTTTCATCACTGAGTCCATCATCTACTCGAGGTTCTCGCAGTAGATTCAAGAAGGATGCTCGGTTGGTTCTTTTGGAGTGACAAAAGGCGAAAGGCACCGTCCTCAAGCCTCCAGATGGCAGTATTCGAGCACTCGAGAGTGTCTGAAAGGCATCCGCAGAAGAAACCAAAACGCAGACCGCAACGGTCACCGCCAACAGCCATGGCTGGTGATGACAATGAATTTGTCGAGTCCCCGTCGAGGGCCGTCTTCGCACAAGCGGCTGTACCCGATGATTGTCGTTGCCACTATTTCTTTCACCCATGTTTATGCAGAAATTCTACTAGTTGGAAGAGAATCGACTCGGAGCCCGTTGATCTAATTTTGCCACCGGCGCAGGTGTGACTTTGTCTATGTTGTGTGCTGAGCTGAGCTGAGCTGAGCTGCTGACTACTCTAGTAGTTCTTGACCTGTAAAGAGTGGGTATCTGTCGACGGGAGGTTTTGGGGATGCAGTTGCAGAATGCTTACTGGAGGTGGGATTGGCTGATTCAATTGGCGGCGACTTTTCGTCTGACTACTTCACCAACAACAACCAAGTGGCAAAAGCTGCAGTGACCACAGATGACTAAGCCAATGTGTCAGAAAAAGAAAAACGCAACTTGTTGTTTTTGTTGCTGTGGTGTTGGTGGCACCTGTCAGGCCCCGACGTCAGATTTCGGAGCATGTACCGGTGGGGTCTATGACGTCACTCTCGCTTTCCGACTTCAACTTGTTAGAGTTAGCGCTTTCAATTCAATTCGATTGATTCGATTCGATCGTCATTCGGCCAAAGTTCGAATTGTACAGCCTGCGATTTTCTCATCGCACCTTGGGAGAGTTCCTCGCAACCCAAACCAACGGTTTCTCTCAAGGAACCGCATCCAGGCTCAAGCTCTTTGAGGCAAGTCATACGGTAGCGAGTGGTGAAACTGAAGGCTTCTATAGTTGCAGCAGCAAGAAGCAAATCTTAGTTCAGACCAATTCAACCGAAGGCCGCCGGCCACGCAAAGATGATGGGGAGATGCGTGGAAGTATCTACATCGTACAGGTATCATCAACCATGACGGCGAGATCTGGAGCAAAATCCTGCGTGTTTGCTTCGGAACAACCATGCCTGGGAGTGAAACGGCCAAGCTCTGGATGCTTTGAGTGCAATTCGTAGTTTCATTCCCCTTCTATCACTAACAGCCAGTTAAAGTGAGCTGTGGCTTCAGGAAACAACCAACCTGTATCGGTATGTGTCGCTCAAGGCTAGATCAGAACAACCATGGATCTATGGAGTATCCAGCTCCACCTCCGTCCAGAGTGCTGGGAAGCCACTCGCGATGCACTCAAGTGTGTGTACCCGAAGCAAGTGTGCGGTCGTTGTGACTCCTTCTCCTTTCCTTCGTCGCATCGACGACACCCAAAAAGTCAATTCTTTTAAATGCTCGAGCGGACACTCACAATTTGATTGGAGGTACCGGTACATGACTTTGTATGTACTGGTGTACTGGTACATGTACTGTCGTACTACGGCCTGTACTACTAGCTAGTACTACTAGCTAGTACATTCTACCTGATCTAAACTTTCGACGGAAGCTCTGTTTTCAAGTTTCCGTCTTCTGCTTGAATGGTGGCTCATTGTTTCTTATAGCTGTAAGTCGCCGAAGTGTGATTCTCCAGCTCTGGCGTGATTTGCTGATACCCCCACTACTAAGAGCGGTAACCATGAGGAAGACGTCGCCGAGAAACATTAGCGGTCTCGCCCCGTCACCTCCAGCCCCTAAAGGCGGGTGCGATACCGGTCTGCGAGGACTACAGCGAGGATTCCCTAGCGGTATGAATGGTATAAACCGATCCTCTCGTTTGACGACAGCGGATATTGTTGCTGCGGCTGATGTTACCTATGCTAGTGGTAGGTTTGAAGATCCATCGCAAGCGCTGAACGGCGACAACAGCAACACGGCTGCCGGTGTTCATACGTTTGATAATACTTCCGGTACCTGCAGTGGTCGTACTGAACAACTAATAAAAGGGGCAGGGCGAGCTGTTGTGATTTCCAAGCACCTCGATCGTGAGGATTCTTCGTGTCATGATGTGCGACCCTTTGACGATAATATCAGCACACTGACGGATCCAGAAAACGAGTCCAATAACAACAGAAGTGGTAGTGGCAGACGGAAAAGGGGATCTGAGGTTATGGAAGAACTAGATCACATCTCCAGGACCACTCCATTTTTGCCCAGCAACCAGGGTCGAATTCGCAACAGTTCCAAAGGCAGCGGTTCAAATTCCATACCAACAAGCACCAACAGACTCAGGTTTCACGAACTCCAACTGCACGGACGAGAAAAGGAAGTGCAGATTCTTCAGGAATGCCTGAGCAAGACTCTACCACCTCCTTCAAGCAGACCTCTAGCATCATCTACCACGTCATTTGGAGCATCTGAAGGAGATGACAAATGCAATATGGATGGCATGGATGGGAATAATGCTGATGATCATGGAGACTGTTGCCATCAGTTGGTACTCTTGTCGGGAGAATCTGGAGTTGGCAAAACTGCCTTGGCGGTGGGGGCCATGGAGACGGCGAAGCCTCTGCAAGGATCCAAATCAGGGATCTGTCTTTGGGGCAAGTTTGACCAAGCCAAGGCAATGCAAGAACCCTATGCTGCATTTGTCGGCGCATTCCAGCAACTGGTTGGCAATCTACTACTGTCAAAGAAGGAACAGGAGGACGCTGGTGCTGACAGTCAGTCTCTCTACCAAACGCTACAAAACGAGCTCATGTCAGCTTTGGATTCCGCAGAACGAGGAATCATGGTAGAGACCTTTGAAGATCTTGACGAACTCTTTCCCCCGGCATCGTCGTCAGACGGAAGAGTACACGGCAGGACTTGGCGCCGCCGACAGCCCTCGTCACAAGAAAGCCATGAAGCCAAGAAGAGCCGATTCCACAATGCGTTTCGGAAATTCATCCGCGTCATCGCCAAACAGTACCGTCCACTTTGCATTGTACTTGACGATCTTCAATGGGCAGGACTCTCGTCCTTGGCCTTGCTGGAAATCATCTTGATAGACCCCTTGTGCTCCAGCGTCATGATCATTGGCGTCTACAGATCCAAAGAAGTTGACGAGACCCATAGCTTCTCCAAAGTTGTGCGAGATTTACGACAACGACTCAAAGACAACAGTGGCAGCAGCATGAAGGGACCAGTGTATGAGATTCATGATATCCCGATTGGAAATCTAGACATGGATGCCACCAGAGGTCTCCTCTCAGATATTCTCTCGACCGATGACCAAGACAAACTAGACGAGCTGGTTCCAATTTGTCATGAGAAGACTAGGAACAATCCTTTCTTTCTATTGACATTTGTCCGGTCTTTATGCGACAATCATTACTTGGAATTCAATCTGAGTTTATATGAATGGAAGTTCGACCCAGAGGAAATCAGAACCGGAACTGGCTCGACTGAGAACGTGGCTGAGATGGTGAAGCAAAGAATGGGGTACCTTGACGCCCGCTCTCTGTTGGTGCTCAAGCTTGCAGGGTGCCTGGGAGCTCGGTTCCAATAGGATATTCTTGAGGCACTCTACGGCAACTTCTCGTCGCAAGTGGATAATGAAAAGGCAACGCAGTTTGGAGACATAGTCGACAACCTGCTTTTAGAATCGATTTTGCAAAGAGAAGGGGCGTTCTTGAGATGGGTTCACGACTCTATCCAAGGTAAGTTGTTCTGCTACGAGCTTCTATTTCTTTTCGAGAGCAAAGGGGTGCATCTTCTCACCAGGCGTCTTTCCCCGAAAATGCACCAACCAGAGGCGGCGATATTGCTGGTGTCCGGTGAAGCCCGGAGATGCTTGGAGAAAGAAATTGGATCAACTCTTCTCGAGAAGCTTAGCGAAACTCAGCTGGACTCGGCCGTCTTTGTCGTCACAAACCTCCTCAACAACGGTACCCCTCCAGCCACAAGAGAAGATAGGTTGCAACTGGCAAGCTTGAACCTTAGAGCAGCAAACGCTGCAGCGTTTCGCTCGGCTGTCGAGAATGCTGCAACGTACGCTCGCAGCGGTCTTGATCTATTGCCCGAGGACAAGTGGGAAACATGCGCCGAACTCACATTGGGTCTCTACACGACATCCTGTCGAGCAGAGACTTGCCTGGGAAGCCACGAGTACGTTATGGCCTTGACAGACGAAGTCCTTCAGAGAGACAATATCAAGCCGTTGGAAAAGCTTCCACTTGTCTTATCGAAAGCGTCCATACTTGAGTCACAGGACGGTCGATTTGAAGAGGCCATGTCGCTCTGTTCGAGTTATTTGAAGGAGCTGGGATGCCGTATCCCCCGTTCAGGAATCAGCTTGGTGTGTGGGACAGTAAAAACACTAGTAGCCATCAAGGGAACGAAAAAGAAGCTCAGCGAGGAATTCATATCCAAGTTGCCGGTGGCGCAAGATCCCAAAGTGGTTGCTGCCATGCTTGTACTCGACAAATACTGCGCCATTGCTATCATAGCGTCCAGTCCTGTGTTTCCGCTGATCGCTCATCGAATGCTGAGCTTCACATTGAAACATGGTTTATGTGATGCTTCCCCCCCGGCATTTGCTCTGGTCGCCATGTTGATGCTGGCTGTCTTTGGTGACCTTCAAGGAGCGTCCCTTTACGCAACAACCTCCAAAGATTTGATGCCTATGTTACCAAATCCACAAATATGTCAAGCCAGAACAGTTTTTCTATCCTCGTTCTTCACGTTCGCCTGGACGCAACCACTGAACAGCAGTGTGAAGCCACTGCTCGAAGGCTACGAAGTGGGTACGTTCGTCTTGTCTCCATTGCCAACTGTGTGGTTCTCTTGTTTTTCTCATTGGTTTGCTTTATGGGTGGTCTACTAATTGCAACTTTCGCTGCTTCTTTGCAAGGACTGGCGAACGGTGATATTGACAGTGCGTTGTACTGCGTCGGTACCTACGTTACCGTAGCCATGCTGGCCGGCAGGCCGTTGGAGGGTCTCCTTGATGACTGTCGAGTTTACTTCGGTCAGATGAAAAAACTGGGTCGCGAGAGAATGTACATAGCCTGCAATATCTGCTGGCAAGCAATACTCAACTTGATGGGGTTTTCGGAAGATCATTTAACCTTGACCGGGGAAGCCATGGATCAAGAAGAGTTTCTGGTCAACACCTTGAGTCCTGAGATGGAAAGCAATTTGTGTAAGCCAACATCCATTGAGTGTCCCGTCTCTGCTTTCTCACTGCGAAATGCCACTTCGTTGACACACATGATTCTGCTCCTGTTGCTCTAGGTGTCTTCCACTGGATACGAGCATTCCTGTACTCGATATTTGGTAACACTGCGTTGGGAGCAAATCACGCGATTGAAATCGCCGAGTGGTTGTTCAAAAAGTTCCCATGGTACGTCAAGTATGGGGTATTATGCCGTGTGCCCTTTGTAGATTCGACGTGATATTTCACGTTTCTCTTGCCATCGTTCCCAGGTACCCTCCAAACTTTTGCCTCCCATATTACATGGGGACGTCGTTGATCGACACGTACAAAACCCAAAAGAAAAAGAAGTACTTGAAGCATGCCAAGTTTCTATCGTTGAAGCTCGACAACTACGCCAAGAAAGGCAACCCCAACGTTCAACACTACAAAATGGCGCTGGAAGGAGAGATGTTAGCGTTGAAAGACAAAACCGGTGAGGCGACGTCGAAGCTTGAGAAGGCTATTGCCTTGGCTACGCGAGGAGGCTTCATTCATGATTCAGCTCTAATGAACGAACGGTTCGGTAACTTCTTGATGCCAACAGATGGCCAACGAGCACTACATCATCTTACTGTGGCATACTCCTTGTACGTTGAATGGGGAGCTCGAAAGAAAGCCGAAATGCTCCTCGAGAAGCACAAAGATTTGCTTCCTCGTCCCACCGACGTCGTCGCAGGCTACACAATATCCCCGTCAACACTGGGCTCTAGTACCCACCGGTAGCCAGATGGTCCAGCGGCGGCATTCAACTGAAGATGTGCAATCTGCATTGTACTGGTTGAGCTTGCTAGTCAGAGCTTTGGTGAGGTCACAGTCAGTGCTCTCATGCTTCCCTGGTCGAGTGTGGCGGTTCCAGACGGTACCTGCACAATTAGGTCGTTTTCAATTGTGTTGTCTTACATGTACTGGTTCCATGGTTTCGATACCTGAGATAGCTTTCTAGCCAGTAGTCACACCTCCACATGGGCTAGCTACAACTAGATACAAAACGATTTGGAGCTAGTTCGGCGGGATCAAGTACTCCCTGACAAAAACAATCTATTTGATTCCCTGTGCTTGCTCTCTCGTCACATTCCAAACTTGGGCCAGGGAATGGAATTCGCCGTTCTCTCCAAAGGCATCTATCCTTCTTACAATCGAAGCACCATCCTTCGTCGTCTCCACGGCCGGTCCCTCGGGTGCCTCCGTCACAAGTTTGTTGTAGAACGTTCGATCAAACGGGGTACCAACAGCCACAAAGTCACAGGTTGACCCGGACACAACACAGGGAACTCGCGATTCATCCAAGTCATTCATGAGGTCGTCGTACGGGACTTTCCACACTGGATACTCGAGACTATAACCGAGCGGACCCATGGCGGATTCGCGCCAATCTTTGATGTGCTCTAGATGTAGATCGCCAAAGACCAGGGAGGTGACATTCCAACGATCCAATGCCTGGAGGGCCTGAATGATGCGGTCCTTGTAGCTCTGGCCGCTTCCACGATGCAATGGCACACCGAGCAGGGATATTTTCAAGTGTTGGGCTTGTCGCATGACATCTTCAATGGAGACTTCCTGATGGGCAATTGTTCGACTATCGGCATCAAAGGTTGTCAAGAGTACTAGTCCAAAGGATTCTTGTTGGTGTTGTCGGACCAGCGCTCGAATCGTCAGGAAGGAGTCTTTTCCGCCGCTAAAGAAGAGTACCTTGACTGGTTGTGCGTTGCAATCATCATCATTATCTGGGCAGCCAAACAGCTCGCTGGAGGGTGCTTGGTAGAGCAATGATGGTTGCGAGATTCGATTCAACTTGTCTTTGACATTGACGTGATTGTAGGGGCAATGCCGGCATCCCGATCCACAACACTTGCCACGATTACGATGGGCAACCTCGGTAAACACCTGATACCCCGTGGCTGGATCAATGTAGGTTGTCTTTTGCTCTTGGCATGCCTTTTGGTGCAATTCGTAATAGCCATTCCCTAGATCCTCCACGTCGACAATTCCGGCAATACTGTTGCTGACTGACTTGTCGTTGTTTCCATTGGTTGGCAATGGATTCAATGTTACGCCTTCCAAACCCATCGCGGACGACGATGGTATCAGTGGTGTGGTAAAGAACTGGTAGCACTGGTCAATGGCTTGCAAGACGCGAGGTTGCTTCTGATAGGCACAAGTAGCCAGTATGGCCACTCCATGCACTAGCAACGGTGTGGGTTGTGCAAAGTAGCTGTTTCCATCGCAGGCAAAGATATCGGCTCGCAACTTGTGGAATTGTTGGGTGGCACGTGAATCCTCGGCATTTCGTTCAAGAGAAAAGCCGCAACATCCCACCAGGACACCATCGGGGTCACTTTTTGTAATGTTCGACCATGAAATACAGGGAGATTTTTTGTTGGAGCCAGTGGCAGGCATGGCCGACTCGACACATGCATAATCCATCATGTCGTGTACCCAGTGGCCACCGGAGAAGGGTGGAGAGAGCCATTCCAACATGAGTAATTTTGGTTTTGACAATGTCTTGTCACGGTTCGCTTCAATAGCATTGCGCAGGGTCTCGAGATCCTTCCAAAATGACTCTTGCAGTCTTTTGCCAGGATGATTTGTGCCACAATTGAGTATGCTCTTGTCAAAGCAATGTTCTGCCACCGTCACAAAAGTTTCTGCCACTTCTTGTAGAGACTTGGGTTGCAGCGATACAGTCACCAGCTGGCTATTATCGGCAGAAGACCCGGCAACACGCTCTACATCCAAGGGCGTGGGAGCACAGACAGCACAGAGATCCTGTGTAAAGACCAAGTTGGGTTTGGCCAGTTCCCACGCACCCTTCACAATTGGGTACAATGAAGATACTGGAAAACTATTGGCCTTGTCATCATCATCGTCAAACTCGGCCTCGGCTTGTTTTCGTCGCTTCCCTTCGTTACTGACTGCTTGGTGGATCTCGGCTTGTGTCGCTCCGTCCTTCAATCCATTTTGCGTCAGAACATGGATTGTGGGGTCCCCGTGAAGGATGGTGTCTTCTAGCTCGCATTCATGAGTGACACCTACTATGCTGCTGGCCAGGCCAAGGGCGAGACACACTTGTGTTGCGGCTGGTTCTAGGCAAGCAATGCGTAGGCCTTCGATGGAGTCCTTGCCGTCTTGAGGAGGCTTCATGGTCGGTTTTTTGTGGTGATGGATGGATGAGGAAAAGATACGAGTCGAGTCCCTAGAGTAAATAAGTCACGGATTCAAAGTTCGGAAGCCAAGGTTCAGACACGAGTTATTACGGGACTCTGACGTCATGACTGTCACTCGAGGTTGCCATTGTGTCATTTGCTGTTTGGCCGTCGGAGAACAGATAGATCCAAGATGAGTGGAGAGAAGCGCCTACTGGAAGACTGTTCCTTGGAGGAGCTTGAACAGGAGATGAAGCGAAGACGTTTACAGGAAGCGAACAAGAACACGGTAGTAGTGGCAACATGTACTACTGCTGCTCCTAGCGCGACACCGGTAGGTCGAAAGACCGCTCATGATATTCTCAAGCGCAACTGCTTTTTGGAGAAGGAGAAACGCAAGACACGGGGTGAATATTTTCCAGTTCATCTGGCAATCTCACTCTTGAGACAGCATCCAATGCTTGTGGCAAAACCCTTCAACGGCGATTCTGTCTTCCCCTATTTTCTCCGAGCCGGTGCTCCGCTCTCCGTCATGCAAGAGGTTTGCTCCATGTGGAAAGCTCATGCTCCAACTCCGTCAAGTTCAAGATACAATGGCTGGCTGGGAAGTTTCAATTTCAGCCCAAATCCAATCGCTGATTTCTGTCTTTTTGGACAAGGAGACACAGGCGTCGTTCGACTCTTGGTGGAAGAATTTTCAAGTCTTTTCTTCGAGTGTCCCGACCATGACGATTACTATCCAATTGAATTGTTTCTAGACCGTTGTGGCTCAAGAGATGTTGCCGACGATTTCGAGGCGGAGCCCTCTCCGGCTTTCCCACAGGCTAAGCAGATTCTGGAGTCCATGCTGAAGCACGGCCCAAAGTCAGACACGCATTCCGAATATTATGACGAGTTCTTTGTCAAAGCTCTAACTGATGGTTTTGGGAAAGTTTGGTCTCCTTTCATGGTGAAAGCATTGGTCAATCTATGCGGAGTTGATTCGCTTGTATTTGAAGAGGACGACTGGACTATGGGCACATTGCTTTCTGCAACAACAATTCTCTCAAAACTCAAGACCCTCCGATTCATACATGGTTCTATGAGCATGGACGTACATGTATTCATTGCAACTCTGAATCACCTTCATTGCTGCCCAAATGATCTGCTACTGGAAGATTTGGAGCTTCTAATCCCAGCGGGGTTTCCAGAGGACCAGGAGGGAAAGAATCTGATGGTGGCTGCTGTGCAGTCCTGCCGCGAGTTGAAAAAACCTTTGTCTGTCCCTCCCCATAGATTATGAGGCGGGAACTGTCATGAATGGCCAAGAACTCTGTGCAGTCAGCAAAGACATCATTCAGGCCCATCATGGCATCAAAGTCCTTTCTTGAGCGATTTTTCCCTCGACAACGCGACTCCACTCAGTGAGCTACTCTCTGTCGTGGCGGCAACGGTCAAAGAATTTTATGTTCAAAGGTGCAATATTTGTCAGGATGGATGGGTGCCTTCTCCAATTGCCCACCACAGCACTTTGGAATTGTTTGAGTTTGTCTGTGGTACTTCGTCTCTTCGTATTGACTGGACACGCGGCATGTTGAACAGCTCCAAACACTTCCAGCACTACGATCATTGGCATTCTGTGGCAACGTCGATTTTGGAGGGCTTCACGTGGGCAAGGAGGTTGCGGATATTCTTTCGATGGGTCGACTTGAAAAGCTCACGCTGGGTGACGAAGGGTGTGGGACACCCCTCATAGAATGGGATCCTGTCGTTGAAGTGCTGAAGGAAAACACTTCGCTAAAGAAACTTTTCTACTATGGGTGCAGTGTTTCAGAAACAGACAAAATTCTCAGTCTGATGAAGGAGCACAACACATCACTCGAGTACGGGAATGTTTTTCGTTGTGAATCGATGTTCTACGCGATCCTAAACCGCCACGGCAGAGCCAAGCTGCGTGCACCAGATGTCAACCAAGACACTCTTGTGGAATGTTTGTGCACTGTACTGAAGAGCGAAGAGCGGGGAGACTTCTCGGTCCACAATATTCACTATGGATTACTCCGAGAAATCCCTTCCATCTGGACGGACGCTTGGACTTGGACCAGCCTATGAAGCACAAGTCTCTGAAAAACAAACAGGAATCACTATGAAGCACAACCGAGACGCTTCAAGAGCTAGTGTCATCTGCGTTTCTCCAGTTCAAACAGCCACGCTAGTGGATGTCAAGACCCTGTTCTCTAGTCTTATAGCATGTAGTAAAATGTAGATGCAACAGCTACCGGTACCGGTACTTGATCGATGTCAGCCAGCAAAGTACCGGTACAGGTTACACTGCATCCGTGGATATAGTGTCCCTTTCCGCTCCTAGCTAGTGGCATTGTTGGCGACGCCACCTCTGTCGGCGCCTTTGAAGCACTTGGTTCAGGGCCACCGGTTTACACCGCCTGCCTATGAAGACTGCGGCTTGCGGGCTGCGAGAGACCCATGTAGTTGAGTCTATGGCGATCTTTCATGTACCGGTACTTAGATATCGTGGCGCTAGCTGCGATAGCTACATTCCTGTCCACCATGCCGACAGCATCCCGACAACTTTTGCTATGGCACCATGGGTGAATTCTCTCGATCCGTTCCATTCTCAGGAGGCACCCACGGTTCATTGCCTGCTGAGAGTTCCACTGGGGGCAATGGTTCCTTGCCCAAGATGAGATCGGCCATGCGTTCTGCTACCATAATGACGGGAGCATTCAAGTTGCCGTTGGTAATGGTAGGAAAGATTGATGCATCCACCACTCGCAAGGCATCTACGCCATGGACTCTCCCGCAAGGATCCACCACGGCTTGATTTTCGTCTTGACTGGCACCCATGCGACACGTCCCACAAGGATGATAGGCCGATTCAACATGCTCTGTAATGTAGTCATCCAAATTGGCGTTCTTCCCCGGCATGATTTCGTCTCCCACGATATCCTTTAATACCGGTTGTCGCATGACTTGTCGTGCTACTTCAATGGCATTTCTCATATCAATCCAATCCTCGTCATGACTCATGTAGTTGAATTGGATTTTGGGCTGTTCATTCATATCGGCCGTTTTGGCCTTGACGTAACCCCGACTCTTGGAAGCAGATGCCCCGATATGAATCTGTAGACTGTGGCCTGTTTTGCTGGGTGCTAGAGTGACGCCATCGTAACTAATCCCCACGGGTAAGAAATGAAACTGGACATCAGGAAAGGGCTTGGTGGGGGCCGACCGGACAAATGCGGCAGCCTCGAATTGATTCGTGGCTCCCAATCCCTTTCTTGTCAAGATCCACTCAATTCCCAGTTTGAGTTGTTCCCAGTAACTCGACAAAACGGGAGCAATGGAAATGGGTGGTATGACTTCTTGTTGAAAGTAGAGTTCCAAATGATCTTGCAGGTTTTGACCGACATGTGGATTGTGATGAACAATGGATGTGACACCAATTTGATGCAAGTGGGACGTATCACCAATGCCTGAGACTTGCAGTAATTGGGGAGATTGAATGGAACCCAAACACAAAATGACTTCCTGGTTGGCGTGGATTGTTTGCATTGTGCGGGTTTTCCCGTCTAGATACTCCAACCCCGTAGCTCTGGGTTTGGCTCCTTCTTGATTGTCAAAGATAACTTTTTGAATCATGGCATTGGTTTGAACTTTGAGCTGCGGGGAGTGGTGCTTCACTGCAGGATGCAGGTAGGCCGAAGCTGTACTGGATCGACATCCCCGAAGTGATCCACTATGAAATACAGTCATGGCCATGGGTCCAAATCCTTCTTGTCGCTGGGCATTGTAATCCGGTGTCATTCCATACCCTGCCTCTGATCCAGCCTTAATAAAGAGATCGTAGAGAGGCGTCTTGGCGGCATTGTCTCCATTTTTGACGTGCAAGGGACCTGTATCGCCCCTGTACAAGCGATTGTTGTCGTCGTCGTGGTGATTGGTGTGATGGGCCCAAGTTTCTGCCTTTTTGAAGTAGGGCAAGACAGAGGCATAGTCCCATCCGTCTGCTCCCATGTGTTGCCACTCATTGAAATTTTCTGGATGTCCTCGGACGTAGACCAAGCCGTTAATGCTGGAGGATCCTCCCAGTCCTTTGCCACGAGGACAAGAAATCACACGACCACCCAAAGCTGGTGCCGGCTCGACTCCAAACCCCCAATTGTAGCGAGGGGAAGACATGGGCCATGCCAGGGCAGTACTGAAGAAATAAGAAAGATAAAGGAAGCATCAGATAAGATCAGGTTAGCATAAAACTGTCATTTCTTCTGTTGTATTCTAACTTACGGCATGTGAATGAAAAGATCTCTGACATGTCCACTGCGATCGGAATGTCCTGCTTCCAGCAATGTCACCGACTTGCCAGCTTGCGCCAATCGAGAGGCAATCACACTCCCTGCAGATCCAGCTCCTGCCACGACATAGTCTGGATTATCAGCATTTGCAGTGTTCTGGGTAGTAGCGGTCGACACGAATCGAGATGCAACGGTCCATTTCCTGCCAAACAAAGAGCGCTGATGAGCCGCTAGAAGGAACGAGGAGACCATGGTTCCTTATAGTTGGAGAGAATGAGGAGTCGATCATCATCATCCACACGCTCCAGGAGGAAGTTCTCACTCCGATGACATTCCATCATCTCCGTTGACATCCCAAGAGAATACAACATGCAATGTAAGATTCCACAGGAGCGAATCTTCGTGTTTGGGGGGTTCCGGATACCACCCCCAATTATCTCCCCCATTCCTCCTCTCCCCCCAATGCTCCAGCCTCCCTCCGTGCACTGCCATGGTCGACCATGCTGAGATTGAACAACAACCGTACACGATGAAGCAGACTCACAATCACTCCCATTGTCCCCTCTAACCGCATAGTAACCTGCATTCACACTCACAAGAACCCATCATCTTCTCTTATCAGAAGTGAAGCATGCCCCAAGCTTTGTTCAAGGACTCTGAAAGTCTTTCTTCAAGTCGAGAATGGTACCTTCACAGAATTCACGCCAGTCTCGGCTTGTATTGCTTGTGTCATGTTGCCGTTCAGTACGGTTTGTTCTTTGGATCTTTCAACGCAAGAGCAGATATGGGCTTTGAATCCTTGACAGGACTTCAATTGCTGGCTCTCTTTACTCCTCACTTTATTCTCCAGCTGAGTGGTTTGGTGTTTGGCATTCCTCGGAAGCGCCACCCGGATGGAAACAGAATCTGGCCACAGTATCGATACGAAGCTCTAGTTCGCTGCCTCGCTCTCATGGCCATTGCATGGCATCGAAAGAACCTTAACAACAAGAAGAAAAATGAGTTTTCAGTCATTCCTTCTGCTCTGATACTATACCGGTACGCCACTATGACATCTGCAGATGCCGTGACCAACTGGTACCAGAAGAAAGGAGAGAACAGTAGAACGATTCGAGATTTGAAGGGACCACCAGGGGCGCTGTACTTGATGTCGAGCGCTCAATTCCATGCCAAAGTGCACTGTCTCCTCACGGCAGACAGGCTCTGCGTACAGCTCGCTGCATTGACAGTTGTCCAAACGACGGCCTTTAGCTCGACTTTACGTCGCAAGGCAATCATCAGCCAAGCGTTTGGATTGGTGGTGTATGGTATGGTTCTGATTATGGGCATGGCTGTGATCCTGACGGACCTCCTGGATCGACAAATCTTTGGTACGGCAGTCACAGTGGCAAACTTGGCGGCTCTGGTGCGGTTCGAATGTCGCATCAACAGGTATGTGTTGTGGGGTATCATTGCGCTCGTGTTGGGCACAGATGAATCTACAAGGATTATGGAAGGCAACCCAGTGCTGCCCTTGGGAAGCAGTCTATTACTTCTGGGTGGAGCGTTAAAGCGTCAGATGGAGCACACTTCCATAAAGGAAGGTAAAAGACTAGTGTGATCATCTCGTCACGGTGGAGCAACTACTCCAGCAAGGTGCATTTGAAATACATACTGGGTGCCTGTTCCTGCATCCAACCTCCAGGCTCCTCGTGTGCTTTGCTATGATATTGGATGGTCATACAGAAGTGTTGCACACGAGATGCGACCACAAACTCCCAGCGCTATCGGTACGAATATCAGAGACATGCCTGATGCGCCTTTCCGCGGCTATCAAAGGTACCGGTACGGTATCGGGTACGCCGTGTTCAGGCTACATATCTACTGTGCTGTGTGAACACTTAAGCATTTGAACGCGCCCTTAGCTGCATACCTCATGGGTGCTGAAATGCCAATAGATCTGGAGTTATCAGTCCATTGCAAAGCTGAACAGCGCTTGGTGACGGCCTTAATGCATGACCGGAAGATGTATAGTTTATTGTTTTACTTTGGAATTGCAAAATAGCTATGATTTGCCTGCACAAAATAGATAATACGACGCATCCAGCCAGTCCCTTACGATGTGTGCTTGGTAATGGTTGATTCAATTGCTTCAGCATTGGCACCATTGACAACATCTACTTTTTCACCACCAACAAAGTAGTGGAAGGAGGGAACAGATCGAACACCCTCGCGTTTCATCAATTTCGAAGCTTCTGGAGTGGCATCGCCAATAACCTAAACATCCACAAAGAAAGAAAGAAAGGAAGAAGGCAAAATCAATGAGTCGATGAATAGGAATCCAAAAAGCAGCAGGCAGAATCAATCCACGTAATGCGGGAGCGGATGCTCAGGCATCACTCGGGAACGATACCACATCTCCCAAGTGCTGATCACCACCAACTTTGTCTTCACAAGTCTGTCTTGTCATAGTCGTACCTTCAGGAATACTGCATCAGGGTACTTCTCGCTCAGTTCATCAAATTTTGGGGCAATGACCTTGCATGGTCCACACCAAGTTGTGGAGTAGTCGACAATAACCAAAGAATCACCTGCACTCTTGATGGTCTTATCAAAGGCGGCCTCACTGTCAACATCGACCACTGCCTTCAGAGGTGCGGGTCTGGACAAGATGCCTCTGCTGATGCTTGACACTGGCGAGAAAGCTTGTGTGTAGGCAACGGCCACTACGAGAAGGAAAGTCTTGGTCCACATGGTTGGCTTCGTTGTGAATTTATTGCTGGAGTAGAGGGTATCTTTGGTCAGCGCCTTGGTTGATTGCCAGTACGAACGAAAGAGAGGAAAGACTTCGAGATGGCAACAAGAGAAGGCTATTCCGTCAACGCTACCTGTCGATCCTTGATGCCATGCTGACCATGGCCTCATTCGCTGGCGGATGCATGCCGATCGAGTGCCAAAGGCGTACGAAGGAGGCTGTGACGTTTGTCAATTTGCTCCGCAATCTTTCTCTCAACTTCAAGCATGCGGAAGAAGGACGTACTAGGCCAGCAAAGCCGTCAGAAGAACAGTCCGCCCCCCTCGGTTCAGAGCCAAACGGTACCGGTACATGTACCATCCCATCGGCAATAGGTAGACTACTAGCTCTACTAGCTAGCTAGCGGTACTTTAGCTAGCTAGGTACGGTATCATATTGGTGCTCTGGAGGTAGCCTATCCAGCTGTGATTGTCTCCCAAGGAGTGGAACTGGCCGATAGAAAGAGATGTACATTGGTTGACAAGACGCAATAGATTATCTAGAAAGCTTGACCAAACAATGCACCTCCGTTTCATATGGATCTATCTGAGGTCCTAAGAATAGCTTCAAAATTACAGTATTGCATCATGCCCTTCGTGTACGGCAATGCTCACATGGCTATTTACATGTACAACTATCCCTAGCAACCCCCCCCAACGAGCCCTGCACAAGCCAAGGCAGCACGATCGCACGCAACATGAACGATTTCACTCTCGTGCGCTTACTTCAGAATCCCAATACCACCGAAAACAGCTCTCACAATTAAGACAGGTCACACTAAAATCCGCGCTTGACCGTCCGTCGTCGGTTTCGGCCTTATTGAGTGGTTGAAGCACTTTTCTGGAGATTTAAAAGACGATTCTGGGGGTGTGCTACTCCTTATATAAAAGCGATTAACAAGGAATCTTTAATCGCCAAAAACCATCACTGTCGCACCGTAGCGCGCCGTACATACTCTACACGAGCGAGAAACTTAGATTCGCTGAATCAGTTCTTGCTTCCGGACGATGACAGACCGATGGTTGAGGTTTTTAGTGTGACCTGTCTTAATTGAACTATGCATAGTCTGTCTGCTGGAGCGTTCCTCAATCGTGCATGACTTTAAATCCGGCCCTAATTTAGGGTTGGTTTGAGGGAATCCATCCCTAAATATAGGGACGGTTTCAAAACCCGACCCTAAAACCAAACCCGACCCTGAATTAGGGACGGTTTTTCAGAAACTGTCCCTATTTTTCAGAAAACGTCCCTATTTTTAGGGTCGGCTTCGAAACCCGACCCTAATATTTGTGCGTTTTCAATGTATTTACCAGGCAGTCCCGTTTCTATTTAGGGACGTTTTTCAAACCCGACCCAAAAACGAAACCTGACCCTAAATTAGGGACGGTTTTTCAGAAACCGTCCCTATTTTCCAGAAAACGTCCCTATTTTTAGGGTCGGTTTCGAAACCCGACCCTAAAGGGAATCCGACCCTAAATCCGACCCTATTTTAGGGTCAGTTTCATGCACGATTGAGGAATGCTCCTGGTAGCAAAATAGAGAGCCATTGCCTCTGCACCTTGGGGTAAAAAGATTGATTCTTGGAAAAAAGCTATAAACAGTTTTGTTAAAATTTACAAGATAACCAGCTGTCTTAAAGTATCAGACGATGACTCTGTCTTAAGACGGCTGTCTTATAGAGTATAAGACCGTCTTAAACATAAGACAGTCATTGTCTTAAGACGGTCATTGTCTTATACATAAGACGGCGTCTGAAACATTCAGGGGGATGTGGAGATTGTTTAGTCATTAAATTATAAAACTACTCCATCCTCCTGACACAAAAAAGACATCGTCTTAAGCATAAGACAATGACTTCTTTAAGACGGTCATCGTCTTAAGTTTAAGACGGCTGTCTTAAGACAGAGTTATTGTCTTATGCTTGAATTAAGACAGCTGTCTGAGTGGGACTCAACTTAAAAGAGTGATTTTCTTTTTTCCAAAAAAAGTTTTTTCAATTACCTCTGTTTTACCTGGAGGTGCTGATGGATTCAGTTCAGCACAAATAAGACAGGGCGAATAAGATCGAGCACCACAGTCTGTCCGTCTGTCCCGTGGGAGTCACTAGGGCGTAATAGCATTTGTGTTGTGCGAAAAAATTTAAAATGTTAGCTATCCAGCGATGTATAGAACATAGTGATTGAACGTTTGGAATCTATCGTTCCATCTTAGTTAAGTTAACGACAAATCCGGCGTCGTTCGCAAGCAACGGTTTTTGGGCTCGTGACTGCCAATGAAAGCAGTCCCGAAGCCGATTTCGGTCATTTTCTCATTACAAAAAAGCTTCCACGATAATAGAAACTGACACCATGGCCCCCTCTACGATCGCTCTAGGAGCCTCTGCCACTGTTACTACCACCACTAGACTAGCTGCCAGCCCCCTGGTTCCCTACTGCTCCATCAAAGGCCGAAAGGATCTGGAGGAAGAAGATGAAAACGAAGTCTTGGATGCTTTCAAAGAGTATGTCGAGAAAGCATTGGCTCAACCATTCTGCTACGACGTTACCACCAATCCTGGAAGGAAGAGCAAGTGCAGCTGCCTGAATGAGCTGAGGCCCGAGCTTGATAGTGATGACCTGGATGAATGTGTCAAGGGCATGCTGCTGTTTTGCAAGTATGGATTTGCTGAAAGAAAAAGAATTTTGAAAGAATGGATCAGATCAGCCATGGGAGCGGCATATATTCTTCTTGGTCATCGGCGGAAGGATCAACACCGAGTGCATCTCCTGCCAGGTTCCACCAACAGATTCATCTGCAAGAATGCCCTCGCTCAGATCCTTGGAATAGGAAGAAGCCAATGGAGCGCCGCTGTGAAATTTGCAAAAGACAACAAAGATCCGGTTCATGGTCTGAAGGGAAAGCCATCCAACAGGATGTGTCAAGAGACACACAATGTTTTGCATGAGTTCTTTAACACAATGAAGGAGCTTGCCACGCCTCGTGCAACCAAGGTGGTGAGGCAGCAAATCTGTGAAGGAATTACAACAACAATCGAGTTGGCGAACGACGATCTGGAAATGGTTGAACTTCCATCGTGCATGACGAAGCGGGGACTCTACAACCGATTCGTAGGAGAACTTGGCTGGACAATCAAGTGGGACACCAAGGCACGGATTCTCAAGAAGACAGAGAAGGGAACAGAACAGAAAGTCACAGCAGACAAGATTCCAGCGTGGAGCACCTTTCGAATCTTCTGGAAAAAGGAATACACAAAGCTTTACATTCAGCGCCCTAGGGAACACATTTGTGGGGAATGCGACATCTTCCAGAATCAACACAAATACGTCCATCGCTTTGGCAGAGATGACGAGACGGAAGATGAGGATGACTGGGAGGACGCAATTGCAATGCTCGATCCCTACACCAGTGTGGAAGACCGGTACAGGGCGGCTATTCCTTATGAAGACATGGTCATCAAGGCAAACTTCCATGTCGAAATGGCAAGACGTCAGAGAGATCTCTTCAATTTGAAGAAAGCTGAAGCAATTCGAGACACTAACAAAGAATGGGATAAGAGAGCGTACACGTTTGTCTGCGACTTTG